TTTCTTATCATTAGATATAAAAACAACAAAAAGATCAGAAGCCTCTGTGTCTGCAACCCCAGTTGAACATAATTTCTTGCAAATCCTGTACACATTCTCCTCGCTACCAAAAACAAAATAAAGGATAAATAAATAATATGAGAGATAGAGAAAGATAAAGAGAGAAGCTGCGGATAAATAAATAATATGAGAGAGATAGAGAAAGATAAAGAGAGAAGCTGCTATATATTCTGATGATTCCAAGAAGTTCCATGCCAAATAAAAATTTGAGATCAATACTTCTATATAAATGTCATAAAGTTTATAAACTCTGTGTAACAAGAACAAAATATGACAATAAATTTTTTTGATATTCTTTACAGCCCATTTAACAGTGGTTATATGGTAATGGGAATGGAATTGTACGTGAATTTGTAAGAAAAATCATAGTTTATTCCCATGGCAATGCTAGTTCACCTCAAATTATATCTTTTTACCACACATGACCATTAGTGGGTGGCATTGGCTGGTGATGGACATTTATGAAGAAAAACACGCATTCAGGAATGAGATTTCATTACTATGGACGTTTTATGTTAGAATGTAATTTACACTTAAATTATTTATACAATCCCCATTAGCAGTTGGCAGTTCCCATTCAAGGTGGATTAAAAAAAGGAAAATAAGGCATATATAGGCATTTCATATTTACAATATATGAATTAACCTATACTTCCAACAGTTAAACTGAATAGAACAAGCATCTCAGTTGAGGTGGGAAATCCTATCTCCCCCCCCCCCTCTTTTTTTCAGGTTAGATGCAAGTTATTTTAAACAGATCTTCATTTTTCAAGTGAAATGCATGCTATTTGTAGTTCAGTGATTTAAAAAAAAAAAAAAGAGAGAGTTACTTGTATGTATTGTATAGTTCAGGAATTCAAGTCATTAGTGATTTTCATCAATTCCTCGTAAAATCTTACAAACAATTTTTCTAACTCGACATAGAATTGAATACATCTTGACTCTTGAGCACTTCTAATCAATGTTCGTGAGCTTGACTGTAAAATGATCATGCAATTTTATTAAATTTTACTTATAATAGAACATTTACATTTAAATTTGTCCTCTCTATGAAATTTCCTTTGTCAGCATTACATACATAATGTTCAAAACGATGTTTATGATATTTTAACAAATTTGTCCCTCCACCATTCAACCAAATAAAAATCCAAGTACAACATATTTAAAAAATATTTAGAACTCGAGAACATGCCCGATTTTGCTTAATATTACATAAACAAAGACAGTAGGAGCTCTAATTGACCTCAACTATGTTCAAGCCCGATAAAAATTGAAAAAAAAAAACGAACATAATTACATAAAAAGCCCAGAACTTACTTCTATAAGCACATTTACATCCCTAAATCCCTAATTCTGAGCATTCTACCAATTTCTTCACTAAATTGTCAAATTAACCGGGGAAAAAAACACACACACACACACACTATTGTGCATATATGAATAACATGATAGAGAACAACCATCAGACCAATAACAATGATACGTAACATAACAAATGCAAATAATCAAAGCAAAAATCAAATAAAGGGTCTTATTCTCAATATAATGAATCAATTAAGAAACTCATAAACCTAAAAAAAATCAATTAATATACTATTACATTTCAGAAAATTAGAAGAAATAAAGTACGTAAAATCAAGGTCAGATGATCAAATTATGCAATTAATTGACAGGGAACCGGATAGTTTGCAGAAATTGAAAAAGATAGAGATGAAATACCAGTAAAGCGGAGTGTGATCAAACTGGGGTGTCACTGTCTCCTGCTGCGAAGCCATTGAAATCTGGACTGAGTTCAACCAGGAATGTTCGGAAACTACAGCAGTTTTGTACTTTTGATTTCCGCAATTTACCTGTTCCGACCCAAACGTTTCGATATACGATTGGCCAATTCTATTCGGGAATTTAAAAGACATGTTTTGTGAAATTGGGCCTTGCTGAACTAGGTAAACGGGTCATTCGGGTCGGGTCATATTGGGTTGGGTTCGATTTATGTCGAGTCAGGTCAATACGACTTATGGGTATGTTTGGGATGGGTATTGCCTGAGTTCGCATCGGGTATGTTCAAATCAGGTCAATTTGGGGTCAAGTAGGTTCGGATTGGGTTATGTTCGAGTTGTTCATTTTTTGTCGATATTCATGTTCAAATCAATAATTTTATTCGATTTGTGAGTTCAATTACAGTTGGGATGAAACAATTTGAGTCATTCATGGCACCAGACATTTTTAGTTCAGGTGTTAGGTATTTATAGTTTGGGGCATTCAAGTATCAGGTTTGTTCAGGTTAAAATCAAACCGTGTTAACTTCGGGGCGACTCATTCAGTATCAGATTAAATTTGGGTTGATTCAAGATCAAGTTAGCTACACTTTTGGGTCAGGTGGGGTAGATTCGGGTTTTGGATTAGTTTTACGTCATTATTTTTCAGGTCAAGCTTCGGGTCACGAGTCCGGTCGTTCAGGTCAAATCAAAATTGCCACTTTGCTAGTTTTAGTTGAGAGTACAAACACTTACAATGAGAATAGTTGTTTTGTGGTAAATGGTGATATTTATTCCGTACTTTAGAAGTCGGTAAACATTTTGTAGATATATTGGTAAGTAGGAAGAACTGTGTTTGAAGTAGGTAAGTGTAAGGGTAAGTATGTAAAAGATGTTGGATTTAAATGTGAGAGGAGTATGAGATAGTACAAATGAGGTGACACTTTAAGAGAGGAGTATTTCAAAGTGGGTAATGAGAGTAGAACAACCCAAATACTCCATTTCACGAAGTGTTACCTCATTTGCCACATCATATCACATACTTGGTAACATGCCAATTAAGTGAGAAAAAATGAAAAATTATTTTTAATCAAAATCAAGTCGGTAAGAAATTGATAGAGAATGTCCATATAATATTCTCATCTTAGGTTTAGGATATATTTTGTATAAGATTATCTTTGATATCTATACATATCTTATGTTACCTAATATGATTAGGTTTCTCATTGTAACCCTATAAATATTGATCAATGAAAATCACTTTTGATATCTATAAAAAATATATCCTAAACCTAAGATGAGAATATTCTATGGATATTCTTATTCTATGGATATTCTCTATCAGAAATATTTCAAAAAAGTTCAATAAAGATAATAAAGAAAAATGTTACATTATTTTCCTTCGCAAATTGATTTAGCTAATGCATTGGCACTGATGCAATATTAGGGTTGAAGTTTGTTATGGTATTAAGCATAGTGTTTGTTGTAGTGTTGGGTTCCTTCGCCATTGCTAACAAAAAGGGAAGAAGGAAGGTTGAAGAAGACAAAAAAAGACGGAGCTAGCTCTTTATAGACGAAAGGAAGAAGGTGAGTTTGTTAGCAGCAAAAGAGCAGTAAAATATTGATAATTTTTTTAGTACCAGGGCGGCTAACGCGTGTGATGCGCGTTATAGCTAGTCATTTTTGGGGAGCTTTTAATTCGGTTTGACCTTATGTCACAAATTTAGTTATTGGCAACATTATCGATGAGGAAAAATATGTAAATAAATGTTTTAGGGTATAAATGCCCGTCGACTATTCTTAAGAGTTTAAAAAAAGAGGCAATTAACATTAATGAGGGAAAATTAGTAAATAAACAATTTAAAGGATATAATTGTCAAAATAATACTCCGTATTTGTAAAAGTTATTCTATACTTTTTATAAGGTATTATTTACCATTTTTGTGAATGAAACAAATTCAATTAGAGAAACTGAAACTCACTCCTATAAAAGAATGCATATAAATCTATCATCAAATTTCATTTGCATCATTTTAAAAATATCTGGAAAATAGTTTTAAAAATAAAAATTAGAATTTTTTGTAAATAAACACCCCAAAATATACCCTGTGTTAAACTGACCGGACTAAGTCGGAAAACTGGTTGAATTTGGAAAGGAGTGGTGAAATTTATTTGTTTTGACATTAATGGCTCATGACTCATGGATGATATTTTTTTGTTTTGTAAAAAGAGTGGTTAGTTCAATATAGGGTACATTTTCACTACAAGAAAAATCACTTTTCGTAGCGATTGTTCATTCGCTACAATATGCAAGTATGTTTGTGAAATAATTAAGGATGTCGTATCATTTTTACAATCGCCATGGTTTTCCCATATAAAATCGATATGGAAAGCATAATAATACATATCCACACTATTTTTACAAATTTATATAATTTTTGAGAAATCGTATCATTTATAATCGCCACTAAATCCTAAAAATCGATACGAAAAACCTTTTCAATACAAAATATGTCATAGCTTATTGGTGAAACATTTAATATAAGAGTTTAAGGTTGCATGTTCGAATCTTATAAAGATCATACACATGTTTTTTTTTTTTGAAGAAAATGAGTTGAACATTTATAGCGATACGGGAGATATTGTATCGAATGACCATTCGTTGGGAAAGCTTTTTGTTACAATACAATCAATACTAAAGGTTAAAATAATCGCCACGAAAAAGTTATTTTCTTGTAGTGCTTGAGGCTCTTATTCACCTAAGACAAACTTTTAAAAAAATCGGATGTACAATAAAATATTGAGTAACCCTAAAATGAGTTAAAGTTACCCATGAAATGAATAAAAGTTACCCCAATACAAATAAAAATTATCTATGTTTTATTAGTAAAAAATCACATTTTAAATGAATAAAAATCAATTATTAGTGATTGAATGTAATTAAATTGCCTTTATAAAACTTTTCTTGTTAGCTATTTATATAAAAAATGTATTATGTTTAAAGTTACACAAAAAAAGGCAAAAATTTCCCCTAAAATTAGCTAAAAGTTACTCTTATACTACTCGATGTACACTAATATTAGTGTAAACCGGGTGCATACAAAGGTTTTTCTTCACCTAAAATCCTAAAAATAAAGTGACATTTTTTTTAATAACAAAAACATTAAATGACATATGAGCACAGAACTTGGCCCAAAATTTGATTTCAAAACAAATGGGCTTATGAGTTATGACGACTCGACTCAACTCAACAGATGGAAGAAGAACAACTCCCATTCACAGCAACACCAACACCCACCGACGCCGGCGAAACACGCCGGAAAATATGCTCCGGTGGCTGCGAGCGTCCAGTGAACGTCTGCCTGTGCGATAAAATACCACAAAACCCAATTTCAACCAACACCCAAATAGTAATCCTACAACATCCTCACGAACAACGCCAAAGATTAGCAACAGTTCCCGTTCTCACAAAATGCCTCCAAAATTGCGAAATCATTGTTGGTCGGAAACTTCGGGAAGGTTCCTCAAAAACCCTTGATTCTCTCTACCATGGAATCAATGATTTAGCTCAATTTGACCCTATTCGTCGCGCAGTCTTTCTCTTTCCAGGTATAGATTTTTGCTTAATTTTTGAGTTAATATTTGGTGAGATAATGTATATTGTATAGTATGAAATTTGTGAATTTTGTAATTTGGAGTGTTTGGTACAATAATTTTTAATTTATTTGCACTATTACAATGTTTATAATTTTTTTTTTTAGAACTTTACCATGTTTATATAGTTATATGGCATTGAACTAGATAATTTAGTGCCCTAGTCTTACCAAACACGATTTTGTCTTGTATTAATTATTCAAAATAGGATCTTGCTAACGAATGCCCCGTAGATGCCCCATGCGTTATATAAGCATTTAAAATATCACCTAAAGTGGTAATAATTTGGGGAAGCAGGATAAAATCACGCGTCGATCGGTGTAATTAATGTTAATTTTTTATTTAATCTTGTGTACTTTTAGCTAGCTTATCCAACGCCCCCGGACGTTCGTTAGCATTTGCCTCCAAAATATAAGTTGTTTTAGTATTTTCCCTCGTTACGACATTGGTTTAATTGGGTTACATTTTCGTAATTTGAGGGAATGCCTCAATACTCAAACATGTTTATCAGAAGAATATATTATGCAAACAAAAGAACATGATGTAAGATATTGTTGTTAAATCGAAGCATGTCTTGTTTAATTGCATTAAACCAATATACCGATCAAAGTAAAGGAACATCAGTTTCAAATAAAAAGAGTGTACAAAGTATATACTTTTATGTTTTTTGTGCTTAGTTTTTGAGTTGATTTTTGTGACGAATGTATAATAGTATGGTTTATGCAAAGGTTTCAACAAATTTGTACATGGAGAGATATATCTATGAACCTATGATTATCGGCATTGCTATATCTTGGATCGAGTGGAGTGACTAAAGCTGTGGACTGCAATTTTTATTTACATAATCTTCAGTGTCAATTTATATTTTAAGTTTTGTTAATGTAGGCACGGATTTGATGCCTTCGATAGAAATAAATGAGTGGAGATCATCATGGAATAGTGTGTGCACAAATGGGATTGTTCTAATTGTTTTTGACGGTACTTGGAAACATGCTAAAGAGATGATGTTTGCGAGTCTCCCATTTATATCGAAATTTGCTACTCGTGTATGTTTTGATTGTGATTTTGAGGTTGGTGGTGGGACCATATATGATTCAGATCTCATTCTGAAGAAGGAACCTTTTAAAGGGTGTATGAGTACCATGGAAGCTGTTGCTCGAGCTTTGAGAGTTCTTGAGCCATCTGGGGTAGAAATAGAAGCAAACCTGGTTGAGGTTTTGAAGTCGATGGTTAGTCTACAGGCTTGCTACTTAAAGCCTGTGAAACCACGGCAAAAGTGTTAGAGAAGGGTGTGGTGCAGAAAAACAATATAGAAGCAACAGGTCAGTAAATATCAGTTATTGAATTTTTGTTCTTTGATAAATTACATTAAAATTAGGATATGTAAAAATCTACTCCAGTTACTAGTTTTTTTAGATTGCATCAGATCTGAATGTGAAGAATCTGTTCCTGTTTTAAGCAATTTTCAATATATGTATTTGCCTTGCCTCTCCTTTCTCGAAAATCAAGGGTAAGGAAATTTTGGGAGACGTCCATATTCTATCAACGTTTGTTTTTATAGAATATTTCTGTAAACCAGTAATTTTCAAGAAGTCTAGTTTCCTTTTGGTAAGAGAGAGGAGTGAGGATGTTGTAACATAAGATGTTAAGGAGATAACCATTAGTTAAGGGTTCGTTTGGCATTGTTGTGGTTTTCTGTTTTTTGGTTTTTTATTTTTTAAAAGTATATGATATATGCCCCATAATAAATAAAAAATTATTTAAACTTATTAAAATTATGATAATTTTGAAAACAAACAACAGAAAAGTGGAAACACCTTTTTCTTGTTTCCTGTTTTAGGTTTTTGGTTTTAAAAAAAACAGGAAACTGAAAACCAAAAATGATGCCAAACAAGCCCTAAGTTTTTTGAGTACCTCAGATTCAATTTTACAAAGAAATATAAATACTGATCAGGATTTGATTCATAGGATTAAGTGTGGCAGTTATTATGCGACCATAGCATGCCAATTGGTTAAAATTAAAGGAGAAAGTCTAAAGGATTACAAATTAACAATCAAACTGGTGGGCATTTAAAAAGATGAGTGTAACAACAATGCTTATAGTGAGACAGATGTGTGTGAACACCCTGAGGAATTGAATATTTAAGAATCTAGATATTCAAAAGAATGTTGGGAGTAATCGAGCTTAAGGTAAGGTGGAAGTTTGGGATTATGAAGATTTCGAAAGAGTTGAGGCTGACTAAAGCTGACTTGAATGCATGAAGTTAAAAATGTTGTTTCATGATTGCACTAGAACAAATGTTGCCTTTAGTTTTGGATTAAACATTATACTTTTAATCTTTCATCGTAGGCACCGTTAGTGGTAATAATTAACCTTGCATGCTACAACATGATACTTTTAACCTTCCATTGTAGGCACTTTTAGAGGTAATAATGAACCTAGCATGTTCCTTCATATAAAAAAAAAAAAAAAAGAAGAAAAACCTAGCATGCTTGCAAGCTACTCGAGCTTGCCTTGGTCAAAGCCTGGCAAAGGTAAGCTTGGCTCGTGACTTAATTGAGCTAAGCAGTTGTGAGCATATACACTTTTATGGAGTTAGTATAATATATGAGTAAATTTTACAAATGAGCAGAATACTTGATAACACTGCTAAATATTAGCTACAAGTTATTAGTAATTTGAAAGATTATTTTCTAAGTTGCAACCCGTGATGCAGGCTTGAGCTTAAGTTAAGCCTGAAATTTCCAAGCTCAAGTTTGAGCTGATTGGACTGGGATACCCCAGTCTTGACTCGTATCAGTTTATCACATCACATCACGCATCGCAATTTCTGTTTAAACCGCATTATATGTAAGCTACTTGTCAGCTTTACTTATTTGCCTATCTGCAGCTAATGAAATATGCTTTGTTCAAGTAACATATAGCTAGTTTAATGTCAGTAATATATGGTTTTATTAATTGACGCTTTTTGAACAATGTTTACAGATTGAAGCATGGTGAGAGGTTAGATAACAAAGAGGTTCTTAAGTGCGAGTGGCAAAACCTTGTGTCTCGGTCATTGCAGGAAATGTGTTTCATTTACTTGAAGGACAACCCTGAAAGATATCATTGTCGCAATTCAGAATAGTAATACTGATTAGAGATCCAATTTTTTCTCACGTGGAATGCAAGTCACATAGTCTTCAGAACGTAGAGAAGCTAGAAATTGTTGATACAACTACCATAGCACCTTTCTTTTCGTGCTAAATCACTTAAATTGACTTTCAGTAGCTGAATAGTGAAGGCACTACTTCATACTTGTACGCAGTTCACATGAGTGAATGGAGTAGAAAATGGCTGCACTCTTCCGCTCCGCTTTTTTCAGAGGTTAGGAAAGATGACAATATAAACTTGGATTGCTAAGGAATCTATGGAAAAAAAATTGAAGGAAAGAGTTGCTTGTTGTTGCAACATAAGATCTGGGAAGTGAGCTTTGATGCTGATTTATTATTATCTTGCACATCATAATATTTCTGGGCTATCATACTATTTGTACTCTGTCACAATAGTACTATATACTGATGATTTTTTTTTTCATTCTTTCAATATATTTTGCCACTTGTTTCTTCCTCTCCATAATTTCCTTCTACATTTTAATCAACACATTATTCCACTGATAAGAAGTGAAATAATTACGTAACTAATATTCTAGTTCAATACAGAATTATATTGAAGAAACAGAAACTTCAAGGAGAGTAATATGCTGAACAACTGAATGACGTTATTCTCACCTCAAAATACTTTCAAATAGGCTCATTTAAACTTCAAAAAATAGTCAGAAAAATTACAATTAATGCATCGACATTACCCATCTTGGAAGATTGATCTATTATACAAGAGTATCAAAATTGAGCAATAATCTAGAAAACTTCTAGTTTCCGCTAAACCATAGTCTAGAGAACAGAAATGAATCACAAAAGGATTGCAAATTTGAAATAAGTAAAATACAAGCTGCAGCAGAAACACCTACTTTTGGATACTGCAATGCTATTTTTGCTTCAAAACTGTCACTGTACTTTGAAGGTCTACCCTCTCCTCAGTGCTAGAGTTGAATCAACTCCATAACATTGAGCATAAAATTTTGATGCTGCCAAGCCAAGCAATATAGGGAGCTTGTCATTAGTAGCCATCACCTTGTTAGCCTTTGCACATCCTCCAGACTCCAGTCAACTAAACAGCAAGTTATAAGACGTGAGACCTGATCATACATCTAAATCGCATCACCAAAGGCTTTTACAAACAGTGCAGAGACAATTCATCCATCTCATTTGTCAAGCTTTAGCTTCCATCTTCACTATCTGAAAGTAGAAAATCCTGGATTTGCTCCCTGTATACAGATCATTGAGATCATCAACATTTAACATCAACAGGATAAATAGAAGAAGAGCTAAGTGTGCCTCTCCCCAAGGAACAATACTCAAAACAAGAGGCACTATTGAATTGTTCTCTAAACCTCTCCACTCATCCCCCTATCCCCAACATGGCACCACAGCATCCCCCGGAGCTAAAAAAAAACACAAAAAAAAAAAAAAAAAAAAAAAAAAACAACAACAACAAAAGAACCTGACAACTATGAATAAGATGGCAGGAACTTAGCTACAAGCAGAGATTCCCATATTATATTATTAAGTACTAACTACCATATTATTCTCATTTTGAAGGCATTTTCTATGTGGATCTCTCAGAATTATTTTCATGTGATTAAGGGAACACAGGTCTGAATCTTCTCAGACCTAAACAAAGAATCAATATGTTTTAATACTCATAAATTCGAACAGAGAGGAGTGTTCAATTTATACACTCGGAAAAACCCACTGGCCTGTCATCCATTGACCATTAGTTAAATAAGACGCATCCAACCCATGCCTATCGAAAAGGATTATAGTTCCTAAGATGAATGACTTTCCAGAAGAAGAAAAAAAGTCGATAAAGAAACCAAACAACATAACTAACTAATCCAACCAGCAATCACACTTCAGAACACAAAAAATGCACACAGTAGCTCATATGGCAAAGTATTAACCACTACTTCAATGGATTATTAGACTATGCAAGATTTAATGCACAAAAATGCAATTAGATGTTACTTGCCTTAGCAATGCATGGTTACTGGAGGCGTCACTTATTGCTGCTCTGGACATTATTGGCTGGGGTAAGAGTGCATAGAACTGGTCCATAGACAATGAGTCGTCAGGAAGTATTTGGTATCTGCAACTTGAGCAGCAAGTTGCTCCGAATGTCTCGGCACTCTGCTGCTCACCAGAAATAATGCCTAAGCTTGAGGAGTCAGAAGCATGAAGTGGGCTGTTGCACAGAGGACAGAACGATTCTGGTGGAGTATGCTCATCTGACTTGATATTAAATTTCTTTTGACGCCTTTGAGATGCTAGACGTGCCTTAGGGTCATCAACATCGGGTAGTCTATTAAAACTGAAAGGTGTAAGCTTTCCAGCAGTCCTCACAATTGTGCATTCCCGAGAAGGATTTTCTTCCTGAATGGGCAGAATATCTGTTAAAAAACTGATAGGATTCATGCTAATTGCACATGAAGTACTACAGATACCTAACTTTCTAACCTGTAAAAGTGAGACAAATGATGAAACCAATGCATTGATTCCAGATTGAGGACCATTTACTGTTGCTAGTGTCTTTAATCTGCCCTGTCAAAAATGGAACAGGAGAGTCATAAGCGTGAAAGAGAATGATATGGACCTAAGACATACAGGAGCTTCTACAAAATAACCACATAGAGGTCCTTAAGCAAAAGTAAGCACACTGAAGGAATATAGTTAACAAACCCATCAAGCTGACAAAGAGTATTGAGCTCTTGTGCAAGACAATCACGAAGTGGAAGCAACACAGGCACATGCCATCTTGCATCAACATACTGCATATCTGCTGGTAAGGAGTAGCCCTGGCCCTGCACCAAACAAAATAAATGTAGAAAAGAATAAAAAAAAATCCCATAAAATTAAGCTAAGATCCAAAAATGTGTTAGAGCTCTGATAAAAAAAACAAAGACCAACCTTAACAGTTGCCGAAAGTACATGACGAGCAATAGTCGATGTGCAAGACCCAAGTACCAACTGAGTGTACCCGTTGTCCAGAGCAACCTGCACAAGAGCCATCACGTAGCTTTAAAAAATTGCCATGATAAATCTTGCTGCAATGATAGCAAACAGCGTCTAACCTTTTGTAGACATAGCATACGAAGATGCGTCAAAAAATCTTCTTTACCAGTATTATCACTCATAGTTTCTAAAAGCATTCTCAGCCTCTCTCTACCATCAGCAGGATTCAAGTCATATATGCTTTCAAGAGGAGCAATGTGCAACGTTTTTTCTGGCGCGGCAAGATCACTGACAACAGCCTTGATATGTTGAATTGCTGCATCAGCTTCAGCAGTTGGGACACGCCGAGCTGAGCTTTCATCAATATAAACAACCCCCACCCCAAACACAGGAAGAGACCTATCCCTACTCTTTTCAAAGTTCTTTTGAGCTTTATCTTGCATCTCATGGACAAACTGTAAAGCCACCCTGGTACATAAGAATTCCTTCTTCAGAACAGGAAATAACACTAGCGATTATCTTCTATTACTACTTCCTTGACATATGCAAGGGGTTTAATAAATTGGCTAACCCATTCAGTCAGATGTTACTTTTCGCATTTAGTATCAACAAATAGGGTAAACAGATACAAAATCCTTATGACACTCAATTTAAAATCAGCACCAGAGCATTCGCTTAAAAGATACCTCCAAGGGTTCAACTACCACCCTGTTTTAAAAGCAAACTTATAACTCTAGTAGTCTAATTAATGATCCAGGACTTAACATGCTAAAAAACTAATATAATCAAAATCTTGAAGAGTTCAATGCATCTCTATTCATCATACTCGGTACATATCATGAGAGATACCTCCTATTCTCCTAACCACCAAACTAACAACGATTTAGAAGTTCAGGCTTATGTTAGACGGGCACGAATTACACGAGAATGACTAGATTTACATGCCAACATTTATACCCTAAGTCAGAGTCCAAGTACTCTAATTTGAGACAGAATGAAATTCCTGATTTCAATCATTCTATAGTGCATGATAAAATTAATTTCCCTAAAAAATTGCAAAGCAATATGTTCATTAGCAGCTTAAACTCGAATCAGCGAAATTGAACTTTAGATCACTATTAATCCACAACCAAATCCACACTTACATGATTTCAGTCTCAAATATAAAATCACAATACTTGCTACTCAACTCACCAACAATATCAAGCTTCTGTGATGCTAGCAAAAACACACAAACAATAGAATTCTACTAAAAAGTATAAACTGAGATTAAGCAATGAAAAAACAACTACAAGAGAAAATTACCGAGAACAAGTGCCGGCGGAAAAAGCGACGAGAACCTTATCAGAGGGAGAAATCATGCCAGTAGAAGTCACGGAAAACCTGAACTTTCCGAAGAGAGAACCACGGAAGCAGTCGGCGCAAAACCGGCCGTCATCTCCGCCGCCGGAACCACCGGCGACAGCGTCGTTGAGCTTACACTTGACGCATGTGTTAGGGTTTAAGGGGGGTTGGCGGCGGCCATTGGTAGTGACTGGAGGCTTGGTGGGAGAGAGAGGTTGTTCGTCGTCGTAGCTACTGCAGCCTCCTGATTGGCAGGTTGGCTTGCCGCAGGACATTGTGGTGTGCTCCCTTAGAGTCAATAGGGTAGAATTGGGAAGAGAGGCACAAAGGGTGATTTTAAGCCGATCTTAGTTTGTGAACGAATCCAGTTCTGTTTGACTGTAGTGTTTGGGACTGAAATGGTAAAGTCGGATAAAACTGCACTTTTTTCGCTAATTTAAGTAAGTAGCGATTATAACTGTAATTTTACAAATTTAACCCTTTAAAAAACAAATTTTGTTCCTCTTTTGGGAAACTAGTGCGACCTTCTTTTGGGAATTGGGATACATTGAGTGGAACAATGTCCCACTATTTTACGTCTAGATCATATTTTTTTAAAGGAAAAAGAGCCAACAATTATACGAAGTATTAAATTAAATCCAATTCCACCAAAGTTGTGACACTTTGAGGGAAAGGATCCAAACTTACATACTCCGAGTTTCCCTCGTATCTCGTCGTGCTATATGGTGAGCAACAGTGTTACAAGCTCTTTTTAACATGAGCGCACGAACAATAATCAAGCAAAGCCATATGAAATCTAACATCATCATAAATAACATTAATGGGAGACAATCCATATTCCTTCGCATTGATTGCCATGACGACATTGACGACATTCGATTCAACCCACAACCAGACGCACCAACATTCTTTGTTGCAGCCAAAATAAATGCACCATGAGAGTTCCTAAAGACCCCGCCAACACTAGCCATCTCCTCATCTGGGAGTCTAGATCATTTTATGTTGTTAGTTCAACTCTTGGCAACTCTACTTAGCATCTACCGAACATGATCCATAATAAATAATAATAATAATAATAATAATAATAATAAATAAATAAATAAAAATATTCACCCAATTTGACTAGATATATCCTAATTCGAAGTTGACTTGA